CTGGATCAAGGCAGCTGTATTGATACCTGTTGTACTTTTTGCAGGAAGGTAATTAAACTTTATTATTATTATTTTTACTATTAATTAGAAGTGTAACATGTTTTGAGTAAATTTTCATTCCTTCTACAGCCCTATTACAAGTGCATACGTGGCTCTGCAGTTCTTTAAGTTGTCACCAGAAGAATCATCATTACATTACATTATATCTTTCGAGGGACATGTCTAATAATGATAAGAAAAATTAAAATCAAGTAAAAATGTTTGCTAACATGCTTGTAATTTTATTATATATTTGGCTTATATAGGGATGCCATAGGATACAAAAGGGGACATTCTGTTTTAATTGCAAAAATAATCATTTCTGCACTAGGCTGCTTGATGCTGGGAACTTTTATTTATGTGCTTATCGTTGATGGATCTCCATTCAATGCCACTGTATTATCAAGGTACCATTTAAAATTTCCCTTTTATTTAATTTATGTAAAAAAGTGTAAAAGTAAATGCTCATATATAGTTGTAAATGCTCACAGGTGCATGATTGCAACAACAACCAATGTCTATTTCTGTATTGTCACTGTAGTAGTAAGTCTTCGTTTATCATATACTTTCCAACTATAGTGAAAAAGGAGTTTTTTCGGATTTTGTTATAACAAGAATGTTTGATTGCTTCTTTTGATCAGGTGTGGATTGCATATAAGGAATCAAGGTGGATAAGTGCTTTCTTTTGGATACTTTCACTTTTATGTTTTGGAGGGTAAGCATATATAGAAACTAACTCACTTTCCTTTTGTCACTCTCCTAAGTATATAACTATATATGGGAAGTGAACTTTAATTGCTTTTAACATTATTAGCGTCTCAAAATGATTTAGGCTTCTCAACATTTGTATCATTTTTTGTTACGTTCTTATGCCTTGATATAACTATTTCACAACATTGCTACATGTGTATACATATTGCAGGAGTTGTTTTACCTTTCACCTCAGCAACCACTTTCCGCCATACTTTTCAACAGTAGTAACAAGTAAGTCTTGCTAAGAGAAGTGACTAATATATTGTAGATGTACATGCTTCTGAACGATTATATATAAACACTCATATTACATCATATAAATTGTTGTTGTTTTGGTTCAAATTTTGTTTTAAGTGTGTTTTGATGTCTTTTGAATCTTACAGAGACTTGTTGTCAAGTAATCCACTGTTGATGGCGCATACCAATGTATAATCAGGGTCTGCAAAAGCTTGTTTTTTCCAAGTGTATCTTTTTATGATTTCAAGAAAGATGAAATTTTCTGAATCTGATGTTGTTTGAATTAATAAGTTCGGTAAAAACCTTTACATCTGATGTTTGTTTCCTTATTCTACCGTTGACCCTTTTGCAGTTAGACACTCAAGTTCAAAACATCTAGTTAATAAGTTCAGTAAAAAACTTTACGAAGATTTTTACTCCTCTGTATGTAGTATTCTTCTTGTTTTGAACTTGAGTGTCAGTTTAATATTTCTCCCAACATGAATACTTGTCCTAGTGGAAAGGAGGGAATGAGTCAATAAGCCACAAGTATGATTACAGGTTCAAGCCTGAAAATCACTCTTTGCCAGGGTGACATCTGTGAATGGTGTTTACTTTTTTTAGTTTTGCATAAACTTGTTGTATTGCTTTTAAAAATTCCAAAGTCTGTTGTTCTTGACTTAGCTGCAGATGATAGTGGTGGATTACAAAAGCAAAAATCTTCTTTTCATTGGGATAAGGTTTGACTTTTTTTATTTTTAATTATGTATATATATTTATTATTCCACTTTTTTACTTATATTTAATCTATTTATATATATGATGACAGAGGAGTAAAAAGTATGTCAAGTTGAACAACGGTGACTGTGTGTCAGCTAGTGGGAAGGTATTTTCAAATATAATATTTTTTTATTTTTTATTAATTTTTGGTTCTAAAAATATGTTTGTACTATTTAATTTACTTGTGTGTATATACAGATAATAATAGAGAGTGGTAAAAAAGGGAAGGCGAATAAAACAGGAATATATAAAAGATGGAAAGAAAAGTCACACAGTAAGATATATCATATATGCATACAGTTGAAAATCATGTTAGAATGAAATAGTTTTGGTCTAAATTAAATGATGTCAATGTTTTCTGGTTATTTATTTTGAACTGATGAATTACAGGGGTAATTTGGTCACAAACGGTTAAAGTCACTCATTTTCAACCAAAAAACAATTATATACAAGGGCAGTTAGGTCACAAACTGTTAAAGTCACTCATTTTTAACCAACAAAGTTAAAAATAAACATTTTACACCATTTTAGCTTGTTTGTTTTAGATAAATCATGATTCATTATGTGTTATGTTTATGATTAATTGATTATCAATTATTCAATCTCAACATAACGTTTATCTGTAGCTTGGAGCTAGAATATCACTAACTAGTTTAATTGCTGCAAAATAAAGTGCACATGTCATTCTTACTGGTGACTCAAACAAGCTAGAGGCATAAACAAGGCTTGTATAATGTACATTACTTGTAATCAATATGAATTTGTTTCTTACAAGTTTATAATAATAAATTTTCAGGTTTTTGACAACATGAGAAGAGTATGTGAGCTTAATAATGTCTAGTGATGATAGTGAGTCTGCCACCACTCAGAGTAGGTTGTTATTTGAGTACATAGAACAGAATCAGCCTTGGGGCAGAGAACCTTTGACTGATAAGGTTAGCTTTTCTCCTGCTTGAACTGGCATAACAGGAAGAGCTCCAAATTGCAAATGGCAATGTGTATCAAAAAAAAATAAAAAAATAAAATAACATACAATCTTAAACATATTACCTGACCAGCTACCAACGGGAACATATTTTGGAACATTCCAGGAATTGTGGGGGTGGCCCCAGGTATCTGACCTGTAAAATCCAACAAAATCAAAGCTCTAGAAAAAGTTGACAACTTTAAAAACTTCTCTATCTCCATCATAAAGATAATAAGCAACACTCACTACTCAACTAGATTAACAAAAATCGGATAGTTTTAAGTCTTGCATTCTCTAAGAAATGGAAAAAGATTTTATTTTTATGCAGAATTTTTATAAAAACTACCGAAACAAGCAATTCCCAATTGAAGACAAACAAAACCCATCATATCATTTTGCACTGATTCTTCCTTGCATGTCACCATGTTTCTTTATACAGGTATGGGTTGTATTGAACTGCTGCAATGACAATTGGCAAAAGGTATTTTACTATTTCACTCTTTCATATTAACTTTTATAATCTACATGTGTATTAAATTTTAATATTTGATACAGGTATGGGTTGTATTGAACCCTGGATTCTTGGAAAAATGTATTTTACTACATGTGTATTAAATTTTAATATTTTATAACATAGATTGAAGATGCTTGAAGCCATTCTGAATACTAATGTGTTGATGATGAAAACAGGTATCATGTGGACACAAAAGCATAACAATAAGAAGTAGAAGCAAGAAGGTGTTCCTTAATGGCAATGTAGTATTAGGTTATATAGTTAGGGAAAACCTCTTAATAACAATGTACAATAGGATCTCCTTAATACCAATGTATTACAATTTTTTGACATGATGTTATGGATGAAATTGATTGTTTTGGTATATATTTGTTTCCATATTTTTGTATTATGCGTAAATGAGTATCATAAAGACACGTCGTAAATGTATATCGTAAATGTATATTGTAAATGGTTGCTGAATTTTATGACACGCAAATGCATGTCATCTTCATTTATGATAGGGGCTTTAATGATATGCAATGCGTGTCCTAAATGTGCGTTGTAAGGTTACGACACGTAAATGCGTGTCGTCTTCCTTTATGACAGGGCCTTCCTTGATACGCATTGCGCGTCGTAAATGCGTGTCGTAAATGCACGTCGTAAATGCGCGTCGTCTATAGACGACGCGCAAAAGCGTGTCGTCTATCGTTATGACAGGGCCTTCCTTGACACGCATTTGCGCGTCGTCTGAGCGTTTTACGACGCGCATTGCGCGTCGTAAAAGGTTGTTTTTCTAGTAGTGTTTGTTCAGCATTCGGTCATTAGCTTTGTGAAACGAGTCGTTGTTAAGGTACCTTTGCGATGTTTGTATGGTAACCATATATTTACTTCAAATGTTATATATGAATTCAAATCAACGTTAATGAACATACAATATTCTGTTATTTAAATTTATACGTTACTTTACAGATTAAAGACAATGAACAAACGAAGTAGAAAGTGGATGTATGAAAGAAAAGATAATCGTAGTTGTGTATCCCTTGTTTTCGTACAAGGAGTGAAAATTTTTATAGATTTTGCTACCAGTCAACATAGGTTCATGGCCGAAGATAAAATCAAATGCCCATGCATCAAATGGCGTAACGTACCATATAGAGAAGTTGATAATGTTAAGTATCATTTGTACAAGTTTGGTTTTGTTGAGGAATATTGGTTTTGGGATAAACATGGGGAAACATCAATTGATGACGACAATACGTTTTTTGGGGTGGATGATTCAAACACAAATTTTAGTGATGGTGCATGTTCTTATAGAGAAATGGTCATAGATGCAATGGCTCCTGATTTAAATAATAGTGTCATCCATCCAATTCAGAAGCTTGGAAGCACTTTGACAAAAGTCATCCTTCATTTGCAGCAGAAGCACGTAATGTAAGATTAGGCCTAAGTATAGATGGGTTTGCACCACATGGAGCATTTGGACAACAATATTCATCTTGGCCTATTATTATAACACCTTATAATTTGCCACCTTCTATGTGCATGAAAGAGCCTTACATATTTTTGACCGCACTTTTGTCAGGACCGTTAAACCCTAAGCATAAAATAGATGTATTTTGCAACCAATTGTTGCAGAGTTGGATCAATTATGGGAAGAAGGCGTAGTAACATATGATATACCTTTAAAAAAAATTTCCATCTTAGAGCAACTTTCATGTGGACAATAAGCGATTTTCCAGCATATGCATTGTTGTCCGAATGGTCTACAGCAGGTAAGCTAGCATGTCCACATTATGGGAAACATATACAAGCATTCAGACTAAAGAATGGTAATAAGATGTCATGGTTTGACTGCCATAGAAGATTTCTACAGGTAAATCACCCATATAGAAAGGAAAAAAATAAGTTCAAGAAGAATCGTGAAGTGATAGAAGGTCCTCCTCCAAGTAAGAATGGTTAACAAACTTTAAGGGAGATTGAACAATTAGGTTTGGTAAAAGTGACTGAACTAAATGCTGATGATGTAAACAAAAGATGTGGCGATCATGGTTGGAAAAAGAAAAGCATATTTTAGGATTTACCATATTGGAAAACAAACCTCATTAGACATAATTTTGATGTTATGCATATTGTGAAAAATGTATTTGAAAACTTTTTTTACACTGTAATGGATGTCAAAGGGAAGACGAAGGACAATGTAGCAGCCAGAAGATTGCGTTTCCCCGATGGTTATGTTTCTAATTTGGGGAGGTGTGTTGATTTAACATGGTGTAGACTATTCGGAATGAAAAGCCATGATTGTCATGTTTTTATGCAAAGATTGATGCCAATTGCATTTCGTGAGATGTTGGCAAAACAAGTGTGGGAAGCATTAAAAGAGTTGAGTATTTTCTTCAAAACATTAACAGGAACATCAATCACAACAAAAGACATGGAAAGGATTGAAACCGAGATCCCAATAATACTATGTAAATTAGAGACCACCTTTGTCCCTGGTATTTTTAACTCCATGGAACATTTACCAGTACATTTGCCATACGAAGCGAAGATAGCTAGTCCTATCCAATATTGGTGGATGTATCCATTTGAAAGGTTTGTATGGTACATCATAATGTATGTTGCTATTTTTGTAAGCTAATTTAAATAATCTTCACTATACGTATCTATATCAGTTGAAAAAAGATGTGAAAAATAAAGCTCAAGTGGAAGGGTCCGTTGTTAACGCGTACTTGCTACATGAAGCATCAATATTTTACTCTCATTATTTCGAGACTGGTGTCCCCACACGTAATAGAAAGTTGCCTCGAAATGATGATGGAGGAGGAGATAAGCAAGCGACTGCTAACAACGACATGTTAGATATATTTTCATATCCTGGGCGTCATTATGGAAGATTCACAAATAAAATGATGTCTGATGAGGAAGTGCATGCTGCCCAAACTTACATACTCCT